CATTGGAAAAGAAGCGACTATTTTCTCCTGATATTCTGGCCTTTCACTAGCCATAACAAAAAATGCCGTACTACCCTGGCTGTGTGATATCATAAAGATCTTCTTTTGCTCCGTTTTCTCTGTAATGTGATCGATCATCGCCGGGATATCGTACGTTCCAATTTCATGCCAACTGTACAAATCGGATCAATTATTATTAAACTGCAACAAATTGATCTCCAGGAATATATCTCAATGTATAGTTATTCCATACCTGAACATCCAAAACTTTTGGTCCGAAGGAGTGAAGTCCAAGTGCTTCCGTGAGTACCTGTTGCCGCGCACGTTGCCCAGCCATACGTCGTAACCCCAGTCTGCTAATATGAAGCCTAAAATTTGGAAGAAAATGTTTAAAAAAGTTCGTCCATTATACCTGAATATAATAAATAATATTTCGTCGTTTCTTAAGAACGAAATGGCGAAAAATAAACAGCGCATGATAATTTAAAATTTCATAAAAGAATGGAATTGTGTCCAAGAAGTGTAGCGGCATGCACTCGGACTAACCATTAGTCAACTTCTCAAATTCACTTTTCAAAAATGAACTTCGCGATATACAGTGGTGAATATGAGAAAATTTACATGGCGAATAGTACAAGATAATTCAGAGTTTTGCGAAATGAAATTATTTTTAATAAGCAATGAACAGATGTAATGTACATCTGAAAATAAAATATGTCTGATTAACAATCAAGGTTGATAATTAATACTACATGCATAGGCAAAATACAATTTTAAACTTTCTGCCCGCCACAAAATGTTTCGAAAAAGAAGGGAGACAAAGGTGGTTGATTTGGTAATACCTAAACTCTTTTCAGGGCCTGGCAGAAGCCACGTAGATGAGCAGTCTAGAAGTCCATGAAGAAGTAGTACAGCTGGTTTATTGCCAGACGGTGGACTTTTCACCGATCCGGCAATTCTATCCAGCTGCAAAACATACCGATCCTCTGTGACGACTTGGTAAGTTTCAGCTACGTAATCCGCTTTTTGCGCAATCTCTTTCTAAAGAAAGAAAAAAAATGCACGCATTCATTTCAATGAAATGGAAACTGTGAATGAAAGATTACGCATCGCTGATTTTAATGAGATTTAAATATATTGTTGCGATGAAAATTTTGAACAGCTACTCGCGAATCCCCGTGCGAGTTTAGTTTCGAAGATATTCGCGAGAAACTGTTGCTACGATTATATTGAATTTTGCCTGCACATATACATCAATGACGCGTATGTATCAACGTAGGACTACTATTTGCGTATTATTGACCACAAATATGTCGCGATGGCTGGAAATATAATGGACAACTTTCTCGAAACAAATTTACCCCTTATACATGCTTATTTAAAACTAGCACTATAGTGCACATTATATAGGATAAAATGACGCCTAATATAAACCTTTTAAATTTTTATGCAGCCTACACTGACTTTCCGTCAATATAAGAGTTAAATCTCTCTTTATTGAAATTGTAAGACTTGTTTGTAATATTTAGTCAAACAATAAAATTATGAAATTCATTAAAGTGATAAAATATTACTCTATCACGTGATGTCTGCATGTTTAAATACCATTTCTTATACAGAGTCACACTGTTTTAAGAATCGTAAACGGTAAGATTGCGGATGACAAAGTTCTTGTCTGAAACAGATCCTATCGAAACATATTCTACGAGTTGAAACAATTGCTAATAAAATTTACTTACGGGAGTTAATGCTTGATCCTCAATCACGGTGTCAGAAATTTCGTTTGCTTCATGATACTGGCCTGTAAACGATACTCCCAAGATTACGGGGAACAAGCAACATAAAATAAATGTTTTAAACATTGTCATAGGTGATACGTGTCTGACAATGAGTATACGATATAATTACAAATTATAGGTAGTAGCCTTATATATAGGTACGTATATCGTAGCCTCAAACATATATTATACATACATGTACATACATATGCGTGTGTGTATTTGCGTCAACAGATTCTCAAGTGCAGTATGTTTATGTTAGAAGATAACAAATTATATCATTATCGATTATCGGATTAATTATCGATTATTATTAATCTGCACCTGTCCAGCACAAGTAAATAAAAAGATATATTTTTGTATTACGATATGTTTGCATTGATATACGATTTGTATCGAATACGTGTTTTCTCATAAATTTTCAGATTTCCTTTTCGTACATGAATGAAATACATGTAACTGATATTAATTAAAAACAATCATACTTAATCTTCAGCATACTTGATAAACTAGCACTGTTTGACAGATAAAATACGAATCAATAAAAAGAGGTTACAAGTGTACAAGAAATCTGAGCTTATGAGTTATTATTATTTCGAAAATTTTTCTTTACTTCTTATCTCGTACTTGTAGAATAATAAATACTTGTTATGTATTTAAAAGTATCTTATTTTGCAATAATATCTATGATAAAACATTTAAAAAACTCAATCATGTTTTCTTTCGGCAAGAGAAATCATTTTCTGTATGTATAAGAAAGAATTATTACCTTCCAGTTTGATAAACGAATAAACATCACCACTATGCAAATGAAAGTAATAGTTCGCGGTTTTCGAAATCCCAGGTGACGAATTCTATTTTCAAGTCACATTACTATTTTTAAGCTTCTGTATTACGTAATTTTCATTGCAACGACAGAATGCATTAAAAATTTGATTCGATATTTATTTATTCATAAAAATGTCCATTATGTTACGCGAAATTGTTTAAGTGATAAGATTAAATTCCCAAATGAAACGCAATTTCCTCAAAATTTTAGTTAAAAAAGGACATATTAAGAAGATTTAAAAGATAAAAGATGTTTAATTAAAAAAGAAGACCATATTAAGACGATTTATAACGAAAATATCAGACAATTACCGTTAAGTCAATAAAGTATTTTTGTAATTTTTTACTATAAACTTGTACATAAAAGAAGTGAAACTTGTTGCAAATATACATTTATGATTTCTGGATGGACAACTTGTCTTTAAGATATCTTGGACCAAAGAGGCTGCATGAACGGAAAATATTGTGAAGATTACATTCCAAGAAATTTTGAACTTTCAAATTAATATCCGAGCCCAGTATCGGATCGATTTGAAAATTTAAGATATTGGATTGAAACAAAGAGGGACTAAAACAAGTATAAAATTTTAGATTCAAATGTATGTTTACTAAATATATTATTTATTAGAATATATTGAATTTTGTGTATTGGGTTGGATTTTGTAATGAAAGAGCCACAAACTTAAGATCATTCATAATTTTATTAACATGATACAGTATGAAAGCATCAAACGTAAATTAAATGCATAAGTAATAATTAATATTTAGTTTCTATAACGGTCCATAATACTCAGAACTTCATTGTATACCAAAGTATTGGCATCTTCTCCCTAGACGAAATCAAAATGCGCGAAAACGTCGCATGGTACTAAAAATTTCTGAACATTGGGTAATATTAATTCCAGAACGTTCTGTAAAACCATTGACAGGAAAGAAAAGATTGAAAAATTCGAGACCAATCCGCAATTAATGCTATACTAATCTGAACGTCGGCAACAATATCATTGGTGGAGTAAAGCAAATACACTGGTAATGTGATATTGCGGAGATTATAATCAGGAGGATTTCTTCTTCTTCTTCTTCTATTTTTTTTTATGTCGCATCGACAGCGAAGTCATTAGCGACGACGGTGCCATTAGATATGTGTGTAGTAATTTATGTTTTTGAGATATTTTAATACTCTATGTATGTCATTTTGAGGAGTTTATGTTTGCATTGATTCCGTATTTCTGTCTTTGGGTTTCTGTGGTGTGGCTTTCTTCTAAGTTTGAATTTAATGGGATTTCAGTAGATCATATTTGTCCGAAATTACAATGGCTACTTCTCCGCTGGCGTGGTT